TGATATAACTAATATTTACATAGCACTCCTACCAGCAGCTGAATACAAGTTATTTTCAAATGCACAAGGAATATTTATTAATGTTATTTTTTGGATTATAAAACAAATCTAAATAAATATATAAGTATTGAAATCATACAATATATGTTATCTGACCATAATTAATTTTAATAAGACAATAGTAACACAAAAATATCTGAGTATTTCCCAAATATTTGGAAATTAAATAAAACATTTATACATAACACATGGGTCAGAAAAGAAATCAAGTAGAAATTAAAGAGTATTTTTAACTAATTAAAAATAAAAAAAATTATATGTTAAATTTGGGAGTATGTAGTTAAAGCTGCATTTAGAGGAAAACTTATAGTACTAAGTGCCTATATTAAAAAAAAGAACATTAGTGACTTCTGCATATGCCTTGAGAAGCTAGAAAAAAAGAACAAATTAAACCAAACATAAGAAAATAAATAAAAGGATAAAAAGCAGAACTTTTAAAAAAGAAAACAAAAGCAATAGAGAAACCAATGAAACTAAAAACCAAAAGGTCATTCAAAATTAATCAACCTTTAACTAGATTAATCATTAAAAAGAGAGTACAGAAATGGCCAATGTCAAAAATTGTAGAGGGGACACCACCAATGATCCTCTAGACCAGTGATGGCGAACCTTTTGAGCTCAGCATGTCAGCATTTTGAAAAACCCTAACTTAACTCTGGTGCCGTGTCACATATAGAAATTTTTTGATATTTGCAACCATAGTAAAAAAAAGATTTATATTTTTGATATTTATTTTATATAATTAAATGCCATTTAACAAAGAAAAATCAACCAAAAAAATGAGTTTGCATGTCACCGCTGACACGTGTGTCATAGGTTCACCATCACTGCTCTAGACATTCAAAGAATGGTAAGGTGATAATTTGAATAACTGTATGACAACAAATAAGTTTTTCCACAGACTATTTGGCAGACTTTCTAACATACAAATACTATCTCAATGACTAACTAAGCCTCTGCCATTCTCATATTAGGTTCCAATTTGAAGTACTTGTTTAATTATATCTATATATGAAGTGACCAAAGAGGATTATTGAGAACTCTTATGTCTGTTGTGATCTACATTTGGGCCTTACCAATATATTCTTAAATTTTTAAAGGTCTTTTATGCATCTCTCTCATAGCTCCTTATCTAAATCACACACTCTGGAGAAAAGATATTATGTTCTATGGCTCTTTTATCTACCTGCTAAATCTAAATATAATGTTGAATGATACATTGTTTTTGCCTAATAAATACAATCAGAATTCAATTCAGATGAATGGCAAAATTAAATATTTACTTTCTACCTTTCTATCATTCTACAAATGGCATAGAATTTGTCTACAGGATATTGCTAGCTAATTATGAAAACTGAAAAACTCATTCACAATCTCTAGATCTCAGCTTCCTCACCGATAAAATGGAATTGCCCCACATTTCACAATAAACATTGCAGTTTTTAAAAAAATGGTCATTTTGATTATTTGAATGGGCTTATAAAATGTAGATTAAAGTGCAAATGTAATTCAACATAAGAGCTTTTGTTAAGTAATTGAGGGAATATTTATATCATTTTGTTGTTAATATTGTTACAGAGCAATTTCTGCTTTAAATTCTAACAGAAAATGTAGCTAGTAGTGGTATAAATTAATTAGAACTTGTATTCTCACATACCTAAAAGCTAGAAGTGGCAACTCAGACAACAGTTCACACTCACCATTGTTGACGCCATCCTCCGGTCACTAGGTATCTGCTAGGCAATATTCAAGGCATGTGACCAAGGAAATGTGCCAATGCATGCATCCTTTTCATCAGAAAAGCAAAATCCTGCCTAAAACCCCCAGCCCACTCTCAGCAAATTTTGGCTTATATCTCATTGACCAAAATTGTGTCACTTGGGTGCCCATAGCTACAAGACAGGCTGAGAAAGCAATTAGCTTTTCCAACATCTGCAGTGGAAGGCAGAAAAATAAAAGGGTTTGAGAGTGCCCAGTGGATCAGACAGCCCTAGTGGTTCCCAGATAGCTTATTTTGTCTAGGCACAGGAGTAGACCTCACAGCTCCTCCCATTCTAGGGGAATGGTAGAAAACAGCATGGAAGTCAGCATCTAAAGATTTGGTTCTGTTGTAGAACTGTCAGTTGCTAGCTATGACTTTCAATGAGCTGTAATTTATCTCTTTGAACTCAATTTCCTCATCTATATATCAGAAATAATGGTACCTACTTCAAATGTGGAGGATAAAATGAGAAAATGGATGCTAAAATTGTGGGTAAATATTTAACTCTTATTATCATGCTAATCTAATCTAATAAAAGGGCAATATGCAAATTAACTGTCACTCTGTCACAAAGATGGAGGTGCCCATAGCATCCGTGCCCCAGCCGAGGGAGGACGTCTGGGCAGGCAGCACACACAGCTTGGTGCACATCCCCAGCCCAGCAGACACAATGCAGGGCTTGGGGCATGCTCTCAGTGGCCGCTGAGCAGCTCAGAGCATGCCCCCACCTCAGCAGACACAACACAGGGGGGCCTCTGTGCGTGAGCTGAAGAGGAAACACTTTTTCTGACCTCTCATTGGCTAAGCTCCCTGTACGCCACCACTCACAGTGTTCTTGGTAACTTGGGTAATAAGAATCCAAGAAGGTGATCTAGGGTTTTCCCACCACACTCCTGGAGGAAAAAACTAAGGTCCGCTGCTGAAGGGGCTAAGAAATGTCATATCCTGCCCTAGCCAGTTTGGCTCAGTGGATAGACCCTCAGCCTGCCAACCGCAGGGTCTGGGTTCGATTCTGATCAAGGGCATGTACCTAGGTTGCAGGCTCCTCCCTGGCTGGGGCCCAGGTCAGGGCTCATGCACGAGGCAACCAATCAAAGTGTCTTTCTCACATTGATGTTTCTCTCTGTCTTTCCCTTTCTCTTCCAAGCTCTCTAAAATCAATGGAAACATATCCTCAGGTGAGAATGAAAGAAAGAAAGAAAGAAAGAAAGAAAGAAAGAAAGAAAGAAAGAAAGAAAGCAATGTTATATCCTATGAAAGACACATCTTGAAAATGCCTAAAGAAAGTTGTCATTTTTTCATGGTGAAGGGACCAGAGCCTGTGTTGATGAAAACACTGTGGCAGCTGCAGTGGCTGGCAGTGGCAGCAGCATCAGGGTGATGGGGCTGGCACCTTCCCCTGATCAGCCCGGTCACCTCCTGCAGAGGGAGGCCAGTCTGCTCCCACAGGGAGAAGGCCTAAGCCATCAGTAGGACATCCCCTGAGGGCTCCCAGTCTGTAAGAGGGGCAGGCTGGGCTGAGGGACACCCACCCCAGTGCACAAATTTCGTGCACCAGGTCTCTAGTCTATATATATATAAAGAGGTAATATGGTAATTGGTCCTAACGGTGTCCCAGTCACAACCGTTCAACAGGCTGTGTGCCCACAGGAGCTGGTGGGCAGGGACGGGGCCGGGGACTTCCACCACCGGGACTTGAGGCTGCTGCCGGGGGCGGCCTCCCCGGCAGAGGCACATGCAGGCCACCGCACCACCCAGCCTGGAGGGGGGCATCAGGATGGGGCAGCCCCCCCGACGGAGGCGTGTGCAGGCTCGTGGCACTGCTTGGCCTTGAGGGGGGGTGTCAGGATGGGGGCGGGGCCTCGGCGGAGAGCTCTCAACACTCCTGTGCTGGGGTCTGAAGGTGCGGAGAGGAAGGGAGAACAGATGAGCAGTTAGGGGGTTTAGGCCAGGAGGGAAGAGCAGATAGGCAGTTAGGGGGATCAGGCCAGGAGGGGAGAACAGATGGGCAGATCAGACAAGGAAGGGAGAGTAGTTAGGGCCATCAGGCCGGCAGGCAGGTGAGCACTTAGGACAGTGATGGCAAACCTATGACATGCGAACTCATTTTTTTGGTTGATTTTTCTTTGTTAAATGGCATTCAAATATATAAAATAAATATCAAAAATATAAATCTTTGTTTTACTATGGTTGCAAATATCAAAAAATTTCTATATGTGACACGGCACCAGAGTTAAGTTAGGGTTTTTCAAAATGCTGACACGCCAAGCTCAAAAGGTTCGCCATCACTGACTTAGGAGATAGTGGTTCTGGATTGTGAGAGGGATCCCAGATTGGAGAGGGTGCAGGCCAGGCTGAGGGATGCCCCTGACCCGCCCCCCCCACCCATGCATGAATTTCGTGCACCAGGCCCTTAGTTATTTATAACAATGCAACAAGTATTAAGGTTACATAATTGGATAAAACATGAAATGCTGGTAAATCCATCTGCTTTCACAAAGCAAGTTGGAGAATGTCTGCCCTTAATAGAGTTACAAAGCACTTCTATAATTCTTTACTTCTGAAAAATCATATTTCCCCCCACAACTTTGGAACACATTTGGTTTCCTCTGAGTGAACCATAAAGCACTTATGTGAGCATAAAGCTTCTTTATCTTCCAACAAAGAGCTCAAAAAAATAGTCATCCAACAAATTTTAAAAGTTCTTTTGCAACTATGAGAAGCCTTTGCATTTTAAAAGTAACATGGTACTGCCCTAGCAAGTTTGGCTCAGTGGATAGAGCGTTGGCCTGTGGACTGAAGGGTCCCGGGTTTGATTCCGGGCAAGGGCACATGGCCAGGTTGCAAGGTTGAACCCCAGTAGGGGGCATGCAGGAGGCAGCCAATCAATGATTCTCTCTTATCATTGACATTTCTATCTTTCTTGCCCTCTCCCTTCCTCACTGAAATCAATAAAAATATTCTTTAAAATAAATAAATAAAATAAAAGTAACATGGTATTTCTTATAGAAGAGCTAACTATTCTCTGATTTATCTTCTTAATATATATCATGTCCTAAACATAAATCTGTGATGGTGGAGAAATTATTTTATATGAATCTTAAATTTATATACAAATATAAAGATATAATCATTATAAATAATATACAGTTGGCTAATTTCTTAAATCCCTTTCTAGGACTCATCTCTGCTTCTACATTCTACTCAGAATGTGACTGTAAATGCACAGAACGCTGAAGGGGAGGTCACTGGAAGATTAAAAGTGGGTGAGTGAGGCTTCATCACAGTGCTTTACATATATGTGGTCCATGAACATTGTGCTAAATTAATGAGTTTGTTTTTCTCTTCTAAAGAATTCAAAGTTATTTATGAACAATCAATGTATGAATTTAGAAAAATATCATGTTGTGGTGACCACAGAGAATAAGTAGCATCAGGGGACAACCGTCTGAAGTATTTTAATTAAAGCTATTTTGATTCCAAGAAATAGAGTAGCATTCAAGGTACCACAAGAAACATAATGATTATTACAGGATATAAAAGAATCTCACAGAGACAAAAGAAAAATAACCAAAGTAGTTGGCTTCAAAAAGTAGAGACCAGGGGCTGAGACCCAAAAGTATTTGTTTTTTCTCTCTCCTTCATTCTCTCCCTCTCTCTCTACCTCCTCCCTATATGTCCCTCTCCCCCTCTCTGCCATGTACCCCTGCTTCCCCGTGTATATTTGCCTCTTTCCCTTGGGTATTACAGCTGCATCTGTTCAAACTTTATATGACCTCCAGAACCTCTCCAGTTTTTCATCTGATTAGTTGTAGTTCTCAACACCAACCAATTTAGTCTTTAATTCCATTAATTCTAAATTCACGACTTATCTTCAACTGAATGCCCTTGGGCAGGCTGTGCAAATCTATCCAACCAGAAAAGACCAGAGAATAAGGTCACATGGGAGTGAAGTCACATAAAAACTTTCATGGTAAGAAAAAGGATTCAGGCAAAACAAAAATGTATAAAAGAAATAACAAAAGGGTAAGCCAGTATGTAAAAGAAAAATGTATACATTCTCTAGTATCAGCACTCTATATGTTTGCCAAATTTAAGAAATTAGATGGCCCTTTTGATTATGGGAAAATAGATGAAAGTTATACTGCCAACACAAGCTGGTTAACTTTGTGTATTTATTTATTTATGTATTTATTTATTTATTTATTTATTTATTTATTTATTTATTTAATGTTTTTATATGTATGATTGAGTTTATTGCAAGAAATTGTAAGAGAAAATGGAGTTGAAGAAAGAAAAGAAGTGAAGACACACCTGGATAGGGGTTTTCACACTGGGCCTACTATCCGCAGGCCTCAGCAGCCCTTCCATGGATCCCTCCAATTCTCTCACATCAAAAGGTTGATCTTGCAAGTAATTTCCATGTTGTAGATACTCCAGCAAATTTCATAGTTCTACCTCTTCCTTCAGTGGCAAAGCTTCTCATAGTACCTGCATCTATTGATGTCCTCAAGGAACACATTCACGCTGAGGATTCTGTTTAAGGTCCTGTATGCCCCTTCCGTGTTCCCTTCATATACCACCACAATCCTGGCAATGAACTTCACATGTCCTGCTATGACCTTGGAATTAAGTCCTCAATCTGTAAGACCCCAAGCTCTCGGGACTCAGTTGACGTAAAGCCTGCTCACAACAGGAAGTGGAAAAAAACAAACAAACACACGTGTTTCTTCTTTTAAATGGCTGTTTTCACAAAACAGAATAATGTTACATTGGAAACTATAGCCATGTGTAAACCTGATGGTTCCTTTTTATTATACTAATACAAGAACTCCATATTTTATGTTGTTTTAATCTTTATAACTTATTCCACAAAATTAATTGTATTTCTCTTTTGCTTAGAAGTTTGTTTGATCACTAAGTCCAGTGAAATTCTCAGTGTATCTAGAGATAAACTTGAGCTTATTAGGCATACATGTTCTTGAAACTTGTCTAAGTCAAGTGATATGTTCTTGATTAATTATATAGTATTATAATTTATCTTTACAATCATTTCTTAAAATTCTTTAAATGACTAGCTTTAAAATGTTTGCGGGATTTTGCCCATTTTTGTCATTATTTCAACAAACATTTATCAAATGCCTATGTACCAGTCTCTATATGCTGCCAAGTAATTAATAACATATAAGTGTTATTATTTTTTAGAAATTACAAAAGTAAATAACTCCTTTTATATTTTTAAAAATGATTTAAAACAAATACTCATTTCCTCACTTAATTTTTGGTTGAATGTGGATTTTCATATAACATCCAAGGGAATTAGAAATAATAGAAGTCTGTTACCAATTTCATGAATAAAAAAACAAAACAAAACTGAAGCACTAAAAAAGCTAATTTGCTCCAGAAGGAACGGCTAGCAAGTAGAAAAGTCAAACCAGGAATGACCCCAGGACTTGTTTCTCTCAGCCAGGAATGTTTCCAATAGCCCTCCCTCTCTCTAACCAGATTTCCTTAAATTATGGCATGCCTGTAACTGTTATAGCTGTTACAAATATAGTTACCTTTTTTTTTTTTAGTATTTTGGGTTGTTTTTAGTGTAGTTTATTTCTAATATCATGCCATTGTGGTCTGAGAAGATGCTTGATATGATTTCAATCTTCTTGCATTTGGGGAGACTTTGTGACCCAATATGTGGTCTATTTTTGAATGTGTCCTATGAGCACTTGAGTAGAATGTATATTCCGTGGCTTTGGGGTGAAGTGTTCTGAAGATGTCAATTAAGTCCATCTGATCTAGTGAGTAATTTAGGATTGCTGTTTCTTTGCTGATGGTTTGTCTAGAGGATTTATCCAGTGATGTCAGTGGTGTATTAAAGTCCCCTACTATGATTGTATTGTTTTCGATCTCTCCTTTGATATCTTCTAGGAGTTTTTTATGTATTTGGGTGCTCCTGCATTAGATGCATATATGTTTATCAGGGTTATATCTTCTTGTTGTATTGATCCCTTTAGTATTATGAAGTGGCCTTCCTTATCTCTTGTTATGGCCTTCACTTTGAGGTCTATTTTGTCCCATATAAGTATTGCTACCCCAGCTTTCTTTTCATTTCCATTTGCCTGAAAGATATTTTTCCATCCCTTCACTTTCAGTCTGTGTGAGTCCCTTCTTCTGAGGTAGGTCTTTTGTAGACAGCAAATGTATGGGCCATGTTTTTTTTATCCATTCAGCCACTCAATGTCTTTTGGCTGGAGCATTTAGTCCGTTTACGTTTAAAGTTATTATTGAAAGGTACTTGTTTGTAGCCATTTCTTTTTTTGTGTGGCTGTTTTCTTTCTGAGCTTTTTTTCCTTCTTTTTACACCAGTCCCTTTAGCATTTCTTGCATTGCTGGCTTGGTGGTGATAAACTCCCTTAGCCTTGTTTTGTCTGTGAAGCTTCTTATTTCCCCTTCAAGTTTGAATGATAGCCTTGCTGGATAGAGTATTCTTGGATTCAGTCCTTTGCTTTGCATCCCTTTGTAAATTTCCGTCCATTCTTTTCTGGCCTGATGTGCTTCTGTTGAGAAATCATTTGACAATCTAATGGGAGATCCCTTGTATGTAACTTTCCGTCTCTCTCTTGCAGCCTGTAAGATTCTCTCTTTGTCCTAAACATTTGCCATGGTAATTATGATGTGTCTTGGTGTGGGTCTTTTCGGGCTCACCTTGTTTGGGACTCTCTGTGCTTGTGTGACTTTTTTCTTCCCCACCTCAGGGAAGTTTTCTGATATTATTTCTTCTAATAGGTTTTCTAATCCTTGTCCTCTTTCTGTTGTTCTGGCACCCCTATTCTTCGTATGTTGTTTCGTTTCATGTTGTCCCAAAGCTCCCTTAGGCTCTCCTCCTGTCTTTTAATTTTTTTCTCCAATTGCAGTACAGTTTGGGTGTGTTTTGCTTTCTTGTCTTCTAATTCACTAATTCGGTCCTCTGCTTCTCCTAGTCTACTGTTGATACTTTCAATGGTGTTTTTTATTGCAGCTATATCGCTCTTCATTTCTTCTTGTGTCTTACATAAGTTATTGATTTTTTCATCTGTTTCTTCTTGCTTCTTGCATAAGTTGTTGATTTTTTCCTCCATCCAGTTTATGCACTCAAGGACCCTTATTCTGAATTCTTTTTCTGTGATGTTGCATGCCTGTGTATCACTTAGCTGCTTTTCTGATGAGTCCTCCTTTTCTTTCCTTTGGGGGTTTCTTTGTCTACCCATGTTTGATCTCATCGACATATCTAGATGCTGAGTTGTTCAGTGGCTGCTCCCTGGATGGCAGTGGCTCCTCGGGCTGTGATTGCTCCTCGAGCGGTTGTGGTAGCGGCTGCTCCTCAGTTGGCAGCAGCTCTTCTGGTGAGTGCTGTTCACCGCTGTTGTGGCTCCTCTGGCTGATTGGGGGAGGCTTCACGTACAGCTGCTGTTCCTCAGACAGAGGGTGTGGTGATCAGGAGGCTGCTGTTGCTTGGATCTGCTGCATTGACTTAAAGGCACAAAATACAACACAACAAGGCACAACGTACCAGTCACTGAACACAAATGTATTCACGATATTAATAACCCAAAATAAAGGTGACCACCCAAGTTAAGAGAATTAGGGGATAAGGAAGAAAGAAGAGAAAAAGGGAAAAGAGAAAAAAGAAAAGAAAAAAAAAGAAAAAAAAGGAGTGCAAAAATGAAATTGGGAAATAGGAGGGGGAAAAAAAGAGTTAAAAGAGAGAATGAAGTAGAAGAGGGGAAGAGACTATTTATATGAGGAGAAAACTCTGATAGAACTGCCACTAATCCCAACCAATTCCAGTAACAGATCCCTGGAGATGAATGCGAACTACAAACAACCAATAATATCAAGTGAGGCAAGGAAAAACAGAAGCACAAAAATAACCAGGGCAGGTGGGGTGGGGGTTGGGGGGAACCAGCAGAAAAAGAAAAAGAAAAAGAAAAAGAAAAACAACTTCACACCAATCCTAAAAAAACCCAATAATACACTCAACAATCAGGCTAACATCAACAAATCAATAGAAAGATAAAAGAAAAAAAATTTTGGATAGTGAAGAAAAGTAAGGTAGAGGTGTATAAGGATTTAAAGCAGTGGATTGGAAATAGGATATATAAGTAGGGTGAAATTTTGACAGGGGGTAAAAAGAAGGAATAGGGAAAATCTAAAGCAGGAATAAGGTAAGAGAAACAGGACAACAAAAGGGGAAAAGTGAGGAAGAGGGTTTTAGCATAGAGGTAAAATT